TTTAATCTAGGAATGAATAATCAACTTCTATTTTACAGATTTGTTTTTAATATATATTGATTACAATTCTAATATCTTATTATAGATTTAGACACTTAATCATGCAATATTTGTAAGATTTTGCATGATTATCTACAACACTCCTCTTCAAGATGGAGCATAGATGTTAATCATGCCCAACTTGTTACAAATATAATCAATCCGAACCCCATTTAAAGTTTTAGTGAAAACAACTCCTAGTTGCTCTCTAATCTTCACATATCCTATAGCATTAAACCTTGCTATATTTTGTCACGAATGAAATGACAATCAATTTCAATGTGCTTAGTTCGTTCATGAAATACGGGAAACTGATATATCCATATTACTTCATACACAGATTGGGCCATAGCCCTATATTCCGATTCTGCACTAGACTGGGACACAACAATTTGCTTCTTACTTTTTCATGAGACCAAATTTCTACCGACAAAAACACAGTAGCTCGTAATGGATCTCCTATCTATCTTGGAACCTGCCGAATCTGCATCAGAGAAGCACTCAATATTATTATGTCCATGATTTCCGTACAAAATACGTCATGGAGTTCCTTTCAGATAACACAGAATCTGCTCTAACGCTGCCCAATGGTCAACCGTAGGAGAAGACATGAATTAACTTACTACACTGACAGAGTACGCAATATCAGGACGAGTGACTGTTAGATAGTTCAACTTTCCAACCAGTCTTCTATACCTCTCAAGGATGTCCTAACCGACAATGTGGCTCAAAAGGGGTCAAAATATTGGAACGTGCAATGGTTCTGGGTACTTGTGTGTCAAGGATGTAGAGCCCTCCAGATTCATGTCCTTTACCAATGATCTGCTTTGTTGTAAGATCCTGAAATAGGGAATGATTAGGGAGAAATAAGTTGCAACATTTAAGAGCACGAGTGAGTTTACTTACTTAAATTAAATTACAAGCGAACCGTGGTAGACTCAATACAGAGGATAAGGAAATTAACGAAGTAGGGTTAACAGACCCAGACCCAAGAGCACAAGAAGTTGACCCATCAGCTAAAGTAACTGTTGTAGATAATCATGCAAAATCTTACAGATATTGCATGATTAAGTGTATAAATCTATAATAGGATATTANTTTCTTTTTTCGACCCTTTGAAAAATGTGTTTGTTTATGTTTTTGCTTTTTATTCTCATGAAAAAATAAACAAAAGAAAGCAAACTCATCAATACATATACTGTATACATTTGTAGAAAAGATAAATACAGTAAAACCTCTCTATAGTCATAATGGTGGGACTAACTAATTTTATTACTATAAGGAGACTATAACTTAATGGAGGTGTAGTTACAAAAATTATAGTTTTGATTTCTTATTTTTTAATTCATGTTTTAGTAGTACAGTATTATGATTTCAATTCAGTGCTTCAATTGCTTACTTTTGAAATTGATAAAAGATCGTGTCTTGGAACCAACAAAGATAAGTGTCATTAATGGAACTATATATGCAGTTGATACATGGTCAATTGATAATTGATGTGAAGCCAGAGACAATTGCCAATGGTTTTAAGCATTGCAAAATTAGGACCCCCGATTTCAATGAATTGCAAGTTACAAATAAAGTGGACGAGGAAAATAAAAGAGTCATTGTAAAATTGGGTGATTAGATTCGACAAGAACATAGAAGAGTCATTGCAAAATTGAGTGATCAGAATCGACAATTTCACTACACTAATCGAATGGATATTAACAGTAGCAGATCCAGAAATTTCTGTTAGGGTGGGCCAAAATAAAAATTAATTATATATTAATATTTTTGTTAGGCTGGGCTAAAATCTAGAAATTATACATATTAGTATTTAAAAAAAAAAAAACTGAGGGTTGGCCATGGCCCACCCAAAAAGAGGCTAGATCCGTCCCTGGATATTAATGTCTTTCTCGATCATCCAAATGAGCAACAAATTATGGATGCTTTAACCGAAGAAGAAATCATTGCTACAATTAAACAAGAAGATAAAGAAAATAATCATAAGGATGATAGTATGGAAATACAAAAAGTTTCGTGACATGAAGCTCTAAACATGCTTAAAAAGCTAAAAATATTTTCGCTTCAATAAGAAGGTGTCCATGCTAGCAAGTTATTACATATTAGCAAGGTAAAAGATGTGGTAACTACTATAAAATATAAATCATTGTCTCAAACAACTTTAAACAAATATTTTATTTCATCTTAAACCTTTAATGTAACATAACATATATTTTTTGGTAATATACAGATAATTATTACTATGTGGAGGCAACTTTCCTTAAGATGGGAATTAGAAAAATTATAACTTATTACAATGTGGAGTTTATTTTTATTTATAATTATCCCAAATTGGGACTAGAATTTTTTATGATTATGTAGAGTTTATTCCTATATGAAGTATCACTATAGAGAGGTTTTACTGTATGTCATATTTTTAATATAAATATTTTCTCTCTTAAACATAACTTGCAAGAAATTTAAACCTCCATTAGTCTTTCACACATTTATTTTTTTCCTTTAATTTTTACACTTACATTACATCTCTTTATGTATCTCAAATTATGATCCATTTTAATTATTTTATATGATCAAATGTGATTATATATTATATTTTTTAAGTTTTAGAAATTGTTTTAAAATTAATACATCAAACATTTTTTTATTTTTACATTTTTAAATTACTGTTTTTAGACAAACCTATCGAATGTTTATTCGTCTTTTGAAAAATAATTATTTTCAATAGTTTTAAAAGATAATAAAATAAATTCATAAAAATAGGCCATAAATCAATAACTTAGATGTTGTTCTCTCTTTGTTAATTTGAAATTTTAATTATTATATTAAATAAATCTAATAGGTAAGCCCAATTTTATAGATTAAAAAGAAAAAAAAAAATGATACTCTATTATTTATTGATAAAGATAGGTTAATAAACCTTTTACATTAATTTTATCTTACAAATATGACATGATAAATTGCAATTGGTCAACAAGACTTATTATTGGACATACAAGACTTATTACGATCTAAAAGAAAAATAATGAAAAGGTTTCACGAGTATAGTATTACCCATTGTCTATACTTTGCCAGTGAAACTTATTATTAAGCAATAAACTTGTGAGATAAGTATCAGGGTGGTCGGATGTTAAAAGAGTAAATTAACTCCATAGTTTTTGAGTCTTTGACACGCTAACTGGGGTTTGAGTCGTTCAACACTAAGGGCATCTCCAACCCAACGCCTTGTGGAAAAAGTGCTCCAACCTAACACCAAATTGGTATAAGTGAATAGTATCACACCAAATTTGGTGTAACACTATTCAACCACACCAATTTGGTGTGCCACTATTCATCTATTTTTTATTTTTGTTATTTGTATTTATGTTAATTTGATTATTATTTATAATAATTAAAAAAATAATGAAAAATTAAAAACAAAACTTTATTCAATACAGATATTAAACTACAATAACTCAAAATAAAAATTAACACTAATTTAAAAACACTAAAATTAAAAGAAAGTGCAACACAAACTAAAATAACAATTTAGGCTCCGTTTGGTTGGTTTTTGAGAATACTATTATTAGTATTCCCAAAAAAGTTAAACAGTAAAATGTCAAAAAACTTAAAAATATTATCCAATATTATTCAATTTTTTTTTAAACCCCCTAAATTTGTTAATTTAATTAAATACCTCTGAATATTTTTTTCGAAATTGCAAGAACACCCATAAACCCACATTATACCAGATTCCGGCCACTACTGTCGGAAGTTGGTCGGAATATGATATAATGGCGCACTACCGGCTGAATCTGGCCGGTAGTACGCCGATCTAGCCTTTTTCGGCCAGATCCACGGTGGATCTGGTCGGAAAAGGCCAGATCTAAGGCAAAAGATCTGCCCGTTGACGGCCAGATCTTTGGCTGTAACTAGAAGTCAACGACGGCTAACATATGGTCGTCGTTGACCATCAACGATGACAGTATCTTTGGCCGTCGTTGAAGAGCAAATGCGGCCAGATCTAGTCTTCAATGGCCAGATCTAGCGGTAGATCTAGCCTTTGCCGGCCAAATCCACCGTGGATCTGGTCGGCAAAGGCCATATCGGCGCACGACTGGCAAGATCCAGCCGGTCATGCGTCAAAACGGTGACTCCGACCAACCTCCGGTGGTGGTGGCCAGTTGTGATTATTCAATGGGTGAGTTGGGGGTATTTTTGTTAACTTTCAAAGTTTTACTATAGGGATGTTTAATAAATAAACAAACATAGGGGGTATTTTTATTAATTTTCAAATCTTACATCGTAATACCCGCCCAATTCAACTTTTTTTAACTTTTTTCAAAAAAAATTTCTAAAAACTGCAAAAAAGTGAATCAAACGGAGCCTTAGTATTCCGGTAGATTAGTTTTGGATCTTCTAAAATCATCAATATATTGAAAAGAACTATAGCTATTTTGAGATCTTTGACCTTATCGTTGAACTCTTTTTTGCATAATTCTTAATTGCTCATTTCGAAAAAACTTATGCAGGCTTGGATCAGTTATGGAATTCAAATCAGATTTCAAAATGTTCGATTTCAAAACTTTTTTGCTCGACATAGACAAATCAAGAATACAGAGGCTTACCATGCTCTTTGAAATGCATTAATTGATCATTTGTGGGAATAATATACTAATTCGGAAATTAAATTACTATCGATATGAAATTTTACTTTTGTATTGTTATTGTTGTTGTTTTTTTATGATATTTTATATTAAATGTAATGTTTATTTAATTAAATAAATGTTTAATTTTATTAAATTAGTATAATTTTTAAAGTTATTATTATTTAATAAAAATATTATTATTAATATTTAATTAACATATATATAAATAATTAGTGAAATAGATTAATGGTTGATTATTATTAAAAAAATCGAAAAACATATTTTGAGGGATATTTGTTTTGATGTAATATTTGTTACAATATATTAAAGATGTAATAGTGAAGTATACTAAAATTGACATCAATTTGATGTAAAAAATGCACAGATTTGGTGTTTTTTGATCGGAGATGCTCTAGTGGATGTGGAACTCTTGTCCGGTGGACAATTTCAAGTTTCAGATCTACAGTATTCAGGCACTAATATGGTGGCCGATGACCGACAGTTTCAGGGCCTGGTAAAAGTTGAGGTTAGATTCGCGCGCTTTCGATTGAAAATGTGAGAAGCACGCTCTCTAAAATCAAAACCTAAAATCATTTTTACTTTCTTTTCTCGCACTTTCTCATCAACCAAACACGTCTCCTCATTGAAACTTTCTCTAGTTTATGTTTTAGCGACCAACAGTCGCTTATGGCCTCAAGCTCAGGCGATGATTTTGTCATTCTCGTATGCACGAATCTTAATCCAATCGAAGTGGAAGCCGAAAAAGATAGAGAAATTCTCATTTCAACCGATGATATCCAAAGCTGGGATTTAGTTACAATTCTCCGTTATCAAACAGTCAGAATTCGTGCTTATCGGAATAGGCTAGTCACTTTCACTTCTCATTCATCTCTCTTTTTTTTTTTTTGAATTAAATGATCAGGATTTATTTATATTTATGGATTAACTTATCTTGAGTACTTGTTTACAGGCTCACTGAACAATCTTCGTATTTTCATGGTCTTCTTGGTGGAAGTTTTAGGTAAAGTTTGAACTGCATTGATTACATATCTAATTATGTATCGTTAATTTTCCTTGTAGGCTTTACTTCTTTATAGAAAATTATTGTAACTAAATTTGCCAACCGGTTTGCTTTTATGGTTAATGGTTTTCAATTAGTTTTATTTATCTATCAAAAAGAGAGAGAGAGAGAGAGAGAGAGAGAGAGAATAAAATGAAAAAAAAGTAATGACTCAAAATACCTATTTTAAAGAGGTAATGTAAAATTTTTTGTTTAACAATTTCTATTTTTCATGCTTTCCTGCAACTTTTTCTGTAACCAAATGGCCCCTAAAATTGACATAAGCTTGGGCGGCTTTTCTGATATTAGTTAGTTTTATGATTAGGCTTTGGATCTTTTTTTTTTTCATTTTGAAATTTAGTAACCGATGGGAACCTTTAAGGTTTCAACTGTTGAGTTGCGTATGATTAGCTCATGGCTGCTTTCTAATTTGGGTATAAATCTTGCAGTGAGTCAAGCTTGGACAATATTGTGGTCCAGTGGAACCTTGAAACATTTTTGAATATTCTGCAGTGTATATATGGCTGCCCATTAAATGTTGCATTAAATAATTTTCTCCCTCTTTTTGAGGTATTTCTTACACGTTATTTTTTATCAAGTTTCAAGTCTTTTAGATTGTTGCTATAACTTTATATAACAAGGCCGTTATAAGTTCCCTTATTGCTTAAAAATTGTGTATAATTCACATGCCGCATTTCTAGGGTGCGCTTTATTTTGGAGTGGAGATGCTTCTAGAGAAGTGTAGAGCTTGGTTTTCTGAGGTATTTTTGTCCAAAAACTCTGGGCCACCACAGATACAATGTGATGATTTGATTCATATGTGGAACTTTGGTTTAGAGAATGGTAAGAAGTACGAGATATTTGAAAATTGTTAAAATTGATGAACACAAAATGAAATTTCATGCTACTGATGAGTATTATGTTTGATTTTGAAATATTAGTATCCACCCTAATAGATAAACTTGCTATATGTTGCAGCCAACGATTTTGTTCCTGAATTATGTGCAAGATATCTAGCGAGAAATTTTGTATGTAATCGATTACATTTAGCTTTTGAGCAACTGCCATGTAAAGTCAGTTGATAGATAATGGTTTTACTTTGCAGATGTGGGCCATGTCTAATAGAGATTTTGTAAATATTCCCTTCAATCTGTTATTTGAGTGTGTAAAGCATCCCTGTTTGACTGTGGACAGGTCAGTCAGCTATAATTTAAATACCAGATAGACCTTTTATGATATATTATCTGAAATTCTGATGCCACACTAATCTTTCACAGTGAGATGCATCTTTCTGATGCACTTTTAGTTTGGCTAGATGCAAATACAGAGCAGATGGATTGCTCAATCAGAACTAAAGAAAATTTGACTGGAATTCTGAAGGAGGCAAGCATTGATTTTTATTTATTTGTTTATGTTCTGGGTTTGAATTTGGGACCTGAAATTAGTATTCTCCACGGTGGGAAATGGGGTGGGGTTGGAAGGATAAATACGAGATTAACATGATCAAGAATTCTCTGTTGAACTTACAGTTTATTCTTTCAGACATTCATTATAAAATAGATTGTGAGGTATGAAAAATATGAGAGACATCTAGTTTATTGGTGAATTTTTTTGGTGGAATGTCAAACATGGAAGATGAAAAGTAAAATTGCCCATGCTTCAATGGAGAACGCCCGATACTGAGTGGAGTCAACAACTTTCTTTCTGCCCCTTTGTCAGTGTGTTAATCTGACACCTTATCATAATGTGGCAACCAAGTCTTTGAAATCTGGGTCATTTTGGGCTGGCCTAAATCCAACCAGGAAATATTGGTTTCCAAAATAAACCTGCAGCAATGTTTTTATGGCTAAAACCTAAGCTAACGCCTGCCAGCTCTGGGTCTCCAGGTTTGGGTAATTATACGCTCCCCAAATGCCACTAACTTTTTCCCCAGAAAAAAGTTGTATGTAGGAGTAACTGAAATTATGCAGAACCATGAAATGGAAAAAAACCAAAAAAAAAAGGTTCTGTGAACTATATGATCAAAGTGTACTGCATGTATATAAAAAAAAAGGTTTCCTCAAATGACAACATGTTGATCAATCTCACTCTTGCATGATAGATGGATATTAAATTTTGGCAATGTCCTATTTTGCATGATCTAATCAAATTTGTTGAGCTCATCATCTGCCTCTCAAAAATAAAAAAGTTATGAATTGATTAAGTTGGCTTACCAACACTAATGTATCTAGGTAAGAGAACATATTAAAATGATGGCCCCTGGTATGTGAGCCAATTTGTTAAATCTTTTATTTGATTATGATTTTATCATTAAAATCCTTCTTTATTGTGTTTTACAGATTCGAATAAGCATTCTGCCATTGTGGTTTGCTGCAGGTAGGCTGGCTTCTAAATGTTTTTCTTGCAACAGTCTGAGTCCTTTTTTAATTCATCTAATCTGATAATGCTTTTTGTTGAACTGGTTTCTATTTCAGGGAAAAGAAGGTCATGCTATTTCTCTAAGCTTGCTGATGAAAGTGTTGACTCAATTTTAAGACTAGTGAAAATTCCTCCGACAGGCTTAATAAATGCCTTAGGAGACGTGGACCTGAATCATCTTCGTATTCGGTTGACAGAATACTCAGAGGTATTCACTTTGCTATTTTTGATGAGTCTTGAGGCCACGAAATGACTTTTGCTTTCTATTGAGGGTTCATTTGAATGGGGTTTAGAGCAGCCTATGCACTGGGCCATGCAGCAGTTGCATACCGGGATGCTTTTCTGTCATATTTTTATGCATACATGGGCATTATTCTCTGAAACTTTGTTTTGTGAAATAGGGAAAAGGAAGCTAAATTTTAAATGTTACCCCGGCCCCCCCACCCCCCCTCCCTTGTCCTCCTCTCTCTCTCTCTCTCTCTCTCTCTCTCTCTCTCTCTCTCTCTCAGATGGAGTTTGTTTTCACAGGTTCTCAATTAACTGTAATAGAATGTTGTCAAGGTGTGTTTTGGCAAACACTTTCAGTTGTACTTTGGCAGCTCAAATTTTATTGTTATGAACTAAATTGTTATCATTTTCTGTATTCTGAACCTTACTGGAGTGAAATCCTAGTACTATCATCAGATGAATTGGTTCACTGTAATTGTTATGAACAAAATGGGAGCAAATTCTCCATTCTGAACCCATTCTCAGGAAGAGTACTAGAGTTAAATCCTACTGTAATCATCATATGGTATCTTTAAACAAAGTATTTGCAAAATGACAAGTTTCGAATTGCCACTTCTTTTTGTGAAAAGTTGTTTATATGGTGATTAACTTTCTCCTTGACACGGATTTGAAGCTTTCATATGATGGAACTTGGAGTTATCGTTGTACCTCATTTAGTTTTCTCTCATCTGTCTTTTGTTATCCACTTTGGTTACACTTAGGGAATGTTGAAGAAGGCATTCTTTATTTCAGATAAGTTAAACATTTTCTTTTAATTATATTTCAGGAGAAAGGGTACATATTCTTTACTCCAGTACTTAATGAAACTCATTTGAGAGAGGGAGAGAGAAGGAAGGAAAGTATATACTCGATCAGGTTCATGTTGAAATGTGTGAAAAACAGAGAATTGGTTGTAATTTTTATTATATGTATTGATAAATTATACATCAATATATAGGAAAATAAAGAACTAATCTAGGAAACAAATAATCTAATCTAGGAAATGAATAATCTAACTTTCTATTTTACAGATTTGTTCTTAATATATATTGATTACAATCCTAATATCTTATTATAGATTTATACACTTAATCATGCAATATCTGTAAGATTTTGTATGATTATCTACAACGCTCCTCTTCAAGATGGAGCATAGATGTTAATTATGCCCAACTTGTTATAAATATAATCAATCCGAACCCCATTCAAAGCTTTAGTGAAAACATCTCCTAGTTGCTCTCCAATCTTTACATATCCTGTAGAGATTAAACCTTGTTATATTTTCTCATGAATGAAATGACAATCAATTTCAATGTGCTTAGTTCGTTTATGAAATACAGGAAACTGATATATCCATATTACTTCACATAGAGACTGGGCCATAACCCTATATTCCGATTCTGCACTAGACTGGGACACAATAGTTTGCTTTTTACTTTTCCATGAGACCAAATTTCCACCAACAAAAACACAGTAGCCTGTAGTGGATCTCCTATCTATCTTGGAACCCGCCCAATCTGCATTAGAGAAGCACTCAATATTACTATGTCAATGATTTCCGTACAAAATACCACGTCTTGGAGCTCCTTTCAGATTACACAGAATCTGCTCTAACGTTTCCCAATGGTCAACCGTAGGAGAAGACATGAATTGACTTACTACACTGATAGAGTATATTACTTCACACATAGACTGGGCCATAGCCCTATATTCCGATTCTGCACTAGACCGAGACACAACAGTTTGCTTCTTACTTTTCCATGAGACCAAATTTCCACCAATAAAAACACAGTAGCCTGTAGTGGATCTCTTATCTATCTTGGAACCTGCCCAATCTGCATCAGAGAAGCACTCAATATTATTATGTCCATGATTTCCGTACAAAATACCACGTCCTGGACCTCCTTTCAGATAACTCAGAATCTGTTTTAACGTTGCCCAATGGTCAACCGTAGGAGAAGACATGAATTGACTTACTACACTGACAGAGTACGCAATATCAGGACGAGTGACTGTTAGATAGTTTAACTTTCTAACTAGTCTTTTATACCTCTCAGGATCTTCAAACAGTTCACCATCTTTGGTAAGTTGCGAATTAGGAAACATTGGCGTACTGCACGGCTTAGCTCTCAATTTTCCTGTCTCAGTTAATAAGTCGAGTACATATTTCCTTTGAGAGAGGAATATGCCTTTCTTGCTCCTTGTTACCTCAACCCCCAAGAAATGCTTCAACACTCCTAAATCTTTTGTATGAAACTGGGTGTGAAGAAAAGACTTAAGTAATGAAATCCCTACAGTGTCACTTCCAGTGATGATAATGTCGTCAACATATACGATAAGAAGACTAATGCCAATTGCCGATTGTTTGTAAAAGACTTTGTGATCAGACTTGCTCTTTGTCATTCTAAACTTTTCAACTATTTGACTGAACTTTCCAAACTAAGCACGTGGACTCTGTTTCAAACCATACAACGATTTGCGAAGATGAAAACTTTCCCATACTCCCCCTGAGCAACAAACCCAGGTGGTTGCTCCACATAGACTTCTTCTTGAAGGTCACCATGTAAAAAGACATTTTTTATGTTCAACTGATGTAATGGCTAAGAATGAGTAGCCGCCATAGAGATAAAGAAGTGAACAGAAGTCAATTTAGCCACAGGGGAAAAAGTGTCAGAATAATCCACTCCATAAGTTTGAGCATAACCTTTAGCTACAAGACGAGCTTTAAGCCTAGCCACTGACCCATCAGGATTTACTTTAACAGCAAACATCCATTTGCATCCAATAGGTCTCTTTCTAGTAGGTAAGTCAACCAAGGTCCAGGTACCATTAACATCTAAAACATTCATCTCTTCTATCATAGCATCACGTTAGCCATGATGAGATAAGACTTCATGAATAGTTGCAGGAAGAGAGACAGAGTCTAGTGATGCCACAAAAGAACAAGAAGAATATGATATGTGATCATAAGAAACAAATGAAGAGATAGGATAAGTACACTGACATTTACATTTCCGAAGAGCAATAGGAAGATCAAGATCACTCAAGGCTAGATCCAACGACGAAGAGTCTTGGGCAGGACATGAATTCTGAGGGTCTTCTTGACGAGGAACATAGGTATCGAGATCACTGGAGATTGGATCTGACGACGAAGGGACTGGTACAGGAGGTTCCTGTTGACGAGAATAGACAGTCCGAATTGGAGGTAGTGGACAGATAGGAGGTGGTGCCAGAAGGAACAGTAGGTGGGGAAGTCTCAGGTGTAGGAGTAACCGATAGGGATGTGGCAGTGTAGATTAGTAAGTCATCGTCCTCCCCCTGACTTTTATAGGTAGACGAAGTAGGAAAAAAATGGGTATTTTCTAAGAAAGTAACATCAGGTGACACCAGATATCTATTAAGACTAGGATAATAGCATCGATATCCCTTCTGAAGGCGAGAGTAACCTAGAAAAACACATTTAAGAGATTTGGGATCTAACTTGGTTATCTGGGGTTGAACATCACGAACAAAACAAGTACTACCAAATATCTTTGATGCAATAGGAAACAAAGGTTTAGACGGGAATAGGACACTATAAGGAGTGGAACCATTCAGAATAGATGAAGGCATGCAGTTAATTAGAAAATAGCCCGTGGAAACTGCGTCGGCCCAAAACTGTTTAGGAACTTGCATTTGTAATAATAGGGCTTGGGCGGTTTCAATAAGGTGCCTATTTTTCCTCTCGGCTACTCTATTTTGGGACGATGTGTCAGCACAAGAGGATTGATGAAGAATGCCATGCTGATTCATATAAGACTGAAAAGAACTCGAAAAATATTATGTGGCATTATTGCTTCTTAATGTCTGGACAGAAGTATTAAATTGAGTTTTAACTTTAGCACAAAAGGCAGAAAAATGAGAAAACAACTCAGAACGATTTTTCATTAAATAAAGCCAAGTTACACGAGGGTTGTCATCAACAAAAGTAACAAAATTTTTAAATATAGGTTTAGACATAATAGAACGCATACCCCAAACATCTGAATGAACTAATTCAAAAGGGACACTAGCCCGTTTATTGACTCTTGGACTTGAAGGAAGACGATGGTGTTTGACAAATTGACATGACTCACAATTTAATGAAGATAAATTATTAAACTGAGGACATAGTTTCTGTAACAATGGTGAAAAAGGATGTCCTAACTGATAATGCGCCTCAAAAGGGGTCGAAATACTGGAACAAGCAATGGTTCTAGGCACTTGTGTGTCAAGGATGTAGAGCCTCCAGGTTCATATCCTTTACCAATAATCTGCTTTGTCGTAAGATCTTGAAATAGGCAATGATTAGGGAAAAATGAGATGCAACATTTAAGAGCATGAGTGAGTTTACTCACAGAAATTAAATTAAAAGCGAACTGTGGTAGACTCAATACAGAGGATAGGGAAATTAACGGAATAGGGTTAACAGACCCAGACCCAAGAACACAAGAAGTTGACCCATCAGCTAAAGTAACATTAGACAAGGAATTATGTGACCGATATGTTGAAAAAAGACTAAGATTACTTGTCATATGATCTGTGGCACCAGAATCAATGACCCACTTGGAGGATGAGGAAATAAGACGTGTTTGGTTTACCTGACTCGGCGAGAGCAGTGATGGAAGTAGATAAGGACTTCAATGATTCTTGATACTGAGAAAACTTGGCAAACTCATCAGCTGAAATCATAACCGTCTTCTCAGAAGTATCAGTAGTGGCCACATGAGCAGACCGAGTTTTCTGGGCCTTATTTTGCAACTTTCTACACATGCACTTTGTATGACTGGGTTCATGATAGTAGTAGCACACAATCCCTCATGACTCTTGACTCTGATTATCACGATTATTCGAACCCCTCCTCTATTATTACTCCTGTTATATGAAGGCCCAATGTCATTATTTTGACTTACAAGAGCACTACTCGACTGAACAAATGGAGTGCTTTCTGTACGAAGAACCCTAGTAAATACGTCTTGGAGGGAGGTGATCTTAGAACTGGCGAGAACTTAAGATTTAGCAGATTCAAACTCAGAAGGGAGTCCAGCTAGGAAACTCATAACCGCCATTTTCTCTCGTTGAGCTTGTTGAACTTTCACATCAGCACTCACTGGTAAAAAGGACGTTAAGTTCTTCATATATCCTTTTAAAGTCTATAAAATAGGTCGTAAGATACCTATCTTGTTTCTCAGCTTGATAAAAGGCTTTGCATACATAAAAAATACGAGAAACATTCCTTGTCCTAGAATATAAAAAATCTAGATAGTCCATCAATTCCTTTACATATTCACAAGGATTAATTAAACCAAGTACCTCACTATTGTTGGAGTTCTGTATCTGCAAGAACAACCGGGCATCCTCTCTCAACCATGTTTGCTTTGAATCATCTTCAGACGAATCTTTTGTGAGATGATCATCTTTACCAATGATTCGCAGGTAGAGACGAATTGTCTTACTCCAATCAAAATAGTTATCAGACACATTAAACTTATGTTCTGTAATTTTTGACATTATATGAACCATATTAGTTATAGGCTTATTAGCCATGGTAAGAAGACGAAAAATTGATCTTAACACAAATAGCCAACACAACTGATAGATGAAAATCAGCAAACTGACCTCAACACAAATAGCCAACAAAACTCTTCAAAGAATGAAATCTGATACCAATAGAAATCAACAAAACTGATCTGACCTGGCTGAGATACTGAGGAACTGATCACACAGACTTGCCAGAAATATCAAGACGAAGCCGGGAAGGGTGATCGGAGCACTGTCCTTCGCCCCACGCGCCCCCACATGCCGGCGCGTGAAGACTGCCGTAGATGAAAAAGGTGACGCGTGACTCACGCGCTGCTCCTTCGGTGACCGGACTTCAGGGAATGGTCGATCGGCAGGAGGGGTTTCTTCCTAGGCAGGGATGAGAAAAAAAAAAAGGCCACTTTCTAGGATGACTCACAAATAATGCTCATTTGGGCAGAGAAAAAGAAAACGAAATTGAGAAACAACCTAGAATTGCTCTGATATCATGTGAAAAACAGAGAACTGATTGTAATTGTTATTATATGTATTGATAAATTATACATCAATATATAGGAAAACAAAGAACTAATCTAGGAATCAAATAATCCAATCTAGCAAATGAATAATCTAACTTCCTATTTTATAGATTTGTTCTTAATATATATTGATTACAATCCTAATATCCTATAATAGATTTATACACTTAATCATGCAATATCTGTAAGATTTTGCATGATTATGTACAACAAAATAAAAGGCCATTTAAAGAGTATTTCTATAAGTCATGCCGGTGAGTTGATATTGGTAGCCTAATTGATTTCATCCTTGGTCTTTTGACTTAATTTTCTTGATGTTACAACTTAGATATTTATTTCTCTTTGCAGAAAGTGGACTTTTCTAGCTGTCCTCAAGTAACGTCAGCCATTCTTCTCCTGTCTGTGCTTCATTCTTCTCATAGTATGGACTCAACATTGAGGAAGATTATAAAGAAGTATTTGATAAACCTTGAACATCCTGACAAAGATCATTGGCGGATATCCGAGTGCTTGCCGCCAACTTTATCTTTTGAAGCATTACAGGAGGTTAATATTTCCAAATGTCATAGGCTGCATCTTGAATATGCCATTGAGTGCTTCTCCAGATCATTTCCATCACTGAAAACAATAAAAGCAGCTTATCTTTTGAGCATCAAGACAACCAGTTTCATTAAATTGGTGCATAAGTGCCCTCTGGTCTCTGAAGTTGACTTGTCTGTTGATATTTCTCCAATCATACCAACACAAGTATCAGTCCTTTCCTCAAATCTGGCTCTACCACTAGTTTCAAATAAGTGTTGGGATGTGACATCGTGCTATCATTCAGGAACATCACTGTCAAACATCACATATCTCACCATTGAGGGTCGAACCGACATATGCGGTAAGATTTTTTTTGTAGCGCTTTTACTGTATTTAGTAAAAGGAGTTTATTATTTCGTTGAAGCATGGTTCTCTTTACGGAATTAGAGGCATCATGCATACTGTTTGAAATTGCCTTAATAAGGCTTAATGGATAATAGAAAATCTGTTTAGAAATGGGGATACTTTGCCGTTGCTATGTATCTGACCTTCTGGATCATCACTGTCAACCATCACACATTAACCATTGAGGGTTGAACTGACATATGTGGTGAGATACTTGTTTGTAGCGCCTTTACTTGACTAAGTAAAAGTAGTTTATCATTTCTTCTAAGTATAGTTTTCTTCATGGAATCAGAGGTATCATGCATACTGTTTGAAATTGCCATAATAAAGGTTAATGGAGTATAGAAAATCTATTTGGTAAACGGTGATACTTTACCTTGGCCATGTTTCTGACCTGAATGTCCTAATTTGCCAGTTCATTGTACTATTAGTTCTGCTAAAGGATTCTATTGAAGGTAAGGATTTAAAAGCAGTGCACCTTATTATTTCTATCCTGGGTATTTTTGTGGAATGGGATATACTCTTGTATGAGCTACTTTGGTGAAATAGAATGATTTATGGATATAATTTTTATTATGATATTTAACTACCCACTCTTCTGTACAATCTTTGATGGATTAAAATGGAAGCTCCAATTTAGTGCCTTTTTACATTCATTGCATGTTTGCATTCATATTACTAAACTCTTGTTTTCTCCATGCATATGAGCTTATTATGGCTTCAGCCATCAACCATTCTACTAACCTTTTTTTTTAACTTTTATGTCAGATTCGGATCTGGAGTTTATCTCAAAATACTGTGTTTCTTTAGGTTACCTGAACATTAAAGGGTGTATTGCAGTAACAGATGTTGGCATATCAAATGTCATATGCAGGTGTATTGAACTTCATTCTATTGTAGTTTGTGATACTTCTTTTGGTATGAATTCAATTCTGGCTCTTTGCTCTGCTGCTCCTAAATTTGGTAATTCTACTGGTCATTTTGGAAAGAGGGCATCTAATCTTCAAAAACTGCATATGGGTTGCTGCAAGGGTGAGTATTTCCTTACTTTCACTTTCTCCATTTTACAAATTTGTTGAGATTGAACCTTTATTGTATTTAAATTTTTCTATAATTCAAAGCCTTGTGACAATGGATGAAAGCGAGGAGAAATTTCTTTTATGTCCTTTGAAGTATTTTCCTTTGATGTTCAAGACACCTGGTAGTTTTCCTACTTGGGGATATTAATTGCCAAATCAAAAAATAAAACTTTGAATTCTGTAGAAAAGACCTTGGAAATAGTTTCTGATTACAACAATGCTACGGACACCAGGGTTTTTACACTGAAATCTTGTACCGACCTACGTGTCCCGTGACTCACACTAGACACGTTATTAAATTTTTTTCTAGTGAACGGCCGTTCATCAAATATGGACGGCCGTTCACTTACATGGACTCCCGTCCATATTATATGGACGGGGGTCCATTCCATTTATGTCAGTATTCAATTGTCCAATGTGGCGGCCTCTACGTGTTCCGGTGCAATTGTTTAGTGCAATTGTTCGGTGGATATAGTATTTTTGTTCTGCAACATTATAGCGGTGGCAACTTTCAAGTCTTTGATATTTGCTTGATAAAACAGTGACTTGAGTCAACTTGAGAAAGATTTGTGTAAATTTTTTGGGTCTGCTATTTGCACCTTCTTTGTCTTTGGTTATATTTGTGGTGTCATCTTGTGTGATTTACTGACTCTACATCCTTGACACACAGGTGCCTAGAACCATTTCATGTTCTAGTATTTTGATCCCTTTTGAGGCTCATTTTCGGTTATGATATCCTTTTTTACCATTGTTAAAGAAATTATGTCCTCATTTTAATAATTTATCTTTGTTAGATTTTGAGTCATGTTAATTTACCAAACACCATCGTCTTCCTTCAAGTCCAAGAGTCAATAAACGGGTTAGTGTCCCTTTTGAATTAGTTCATTCAGATGTTTGGGGTCCGTGTTCTATTATGTCTAAACCTGGATTTAAATATTTTGTTACCTTTGTTGATGACAACTCTCGTGTAACTTGACTTTATTTAATGAAAAATTGTTCTGAATTGTTCTTTCATTTTTCTATCTTTTGTGCTAAAGTTAAAACTCAATTTAATACTTATGTCTAGACATTAAGAAGCGATAATGCCAAATAATATTTTTGAGTTCTTTTCAGTCTTATATGAGTCAACATGTCATTCTTCATCAATCCTCTTGTGTTGACACACCGTCCCAAAATGGAGTACGGAGAGCAAAAATAGGCAACTTCTTGAAACTGCTTGAGCCCTATTATTTCAAATGCAAATTCTTAAACAGTTTTGGGCCGATGCAGTTTCCACAACCTGTTTTTTAATTAAACGCACGCCTTCATCTATTCTGAATGGTTCCACTCCTTGTAGTGTCCTCTTCTCGTTTAAACCTTTGTTTCCTATTGCACCAAAGATATTTGGTAGTACTTGTTTTGTTCGTGATGTTTAACCCCAGGTAACCAAGTTAGATCCCAAATCTCTTAAATGTGTTTTTCTAGGTTATTCTTGTCTTTAGAAGGGACATCGATGCTATTGTCCTAGTCTTAATAGATATCTGGTGTCACCTGATGTTACTTTCTTAGAAAACACCCATTTTTTTCCTACTTCGTCTACCTATAAAAGTCAGGGGGAGGACGATGACTTACTAATCTACACTGCCACATCCCTATCGGTTACTCCTACACCTGAGGCTTCCCCACCTACTGTTCCTTCTGGCACCACCTCCTGTCTGTCCACTACCTCCAATTCGCATTGTCTATTCTCGTTGACAGGAACCTCCTGTACCAGTCCCTTCGTCGTCAGATCCAGTCTCCAGTGATCTCGATACCTATGTTCCTCGTCAGGAAGACCCTCAGAATTCATGTCCTGCCCATGACTCTTCGTCGTTGGATCCAGCCTTGAGTGATCTTGATCTTCCTATTGCTCTTTGGAAATGTAAACGTCAGTGTACTTATCCTATCTCTTCATTTGTTTCTTATGATCACCTATCATCTTCTTCTTCTTCTTTTGTGGCATCACTAGACTCTTGTCTCACTTCCTACAACTGTTCATGAAGCCTTATCTCATCATGGCTGGCGTGATGCTATGATATAAGAGATGAATGCTTTAGATGTTAATGGTACCTAGACCTTGGTTGACTTACCTATTAGAAAGAGACCTATTGGATGCAAATGGGTGTTTCCTGTTAAAGTAAATCTTGATGGGTCAGTGGCTAGGCTTAAAGCTCGTCTTGTAGCTAAAGGCTATGTTCAAACTTATGGAGTGGATTATTCTGACACTTTTTCCCTTGTGGCTAAATTGACTTCTGTTTGCTTATTTATCTCCATGGCGGCTACTCATTCTTGGCCATTACATCAGTTGGACATAAAAAATGTCTTTTTACATGGTGACCTTCAGGAAGAAGTCTGTATGGAGCAACCACTTGGGTTTGTTGCTTAGGGAGAGTATGGGAAAGCTTGTCATCTTTGCAAATCGTTATATGGTTTGAAATATAGTCCACGTGCTTGGTTTGGAAAGTTCAGTCAGGTAGTTGAAAAGTTCGAAATTACAAAGAGCAAGTCTGATCATTCAGTCTTTTTCAAACAATCGGCAGTTGACATTATTCTTCTTGCCGTATATGTTGACGACATTATCATCACTTGGAGTGACACTGTAGGGATTTCATTACTTAAGTCCTTTCTTCACACCTAGTTTCATACAAAAGATTTAGGAGTGTTGAAGTATTTCTTGGGGGTTGAGGTAACAAGAGCTAGAAAGGCATCTTCCTCTCTCAAAGGAAATATGTATTTGACTTATTAACTGAGACAGAAAAATTGGGAGTTAAGCCATGCAGTACGCCAATGTTTCCTAATTCGCAACTTACCAAAGATGGTGAACTGTTTGAAGATCCTGAGAGGTATAGAAGACTGGTTGAAAAGTTGAACTATCTAACAGTCACTCGCCTGATATTGCATACTCTGTCAGTGTAGTAAGTCAAATCATGTCTTCTCCTACGGTTGACCATTCGGCAGTGTTAGAGCAGATTCTGCGTTATCTGAAAGGAGTTCCAGGACGTGGTATTTTGTACGAAAATCATGGACATAATAATATTGAGTGCTTCTCTGATGCAGATTGGGCGGGTTCCAAGATAGATAGGAGATCCACTACGGGCTAATGTGTTTTTGTTGATGGAAATTTGGTCTCATGGAAAAGTAAGAAGCAAACTGTTGTGTCCCGGTCTAGTGCAGAATCGGAATATAGGGTTATGACCTAGCCTGTGTGTGAAGTAATATGGATATATAAGTTTTTGACTGAAGTTGGTCTTATGGCATCTTTGCTAGCGAAATTGTGGTGTGATAGCCAAGCCGTTCTTCATATGGCTTCTAATCCCGTATTTCATGAACGAACTAAGCACATTGAAATTGACTGTCATTTCGTTCGTGAGAAAATACAGCAAGGTTTAATCTCTACAGGATATGTAAGACTGAAGAGCAACTAGGAGATGTTTTCACTAAAGCTTTGAATGGGGTTCGGATTGATTATATTTGTAACAAGCTGGGCATCATTAATATCTATGCTCTATCTTGAGGGAGAGTGTTGTAGATAATCATGTAAAATCTTACAGATATTGCATGATTAAGTGTATAAATCTATAATAGGATATTAGGATTGTAATTAGTATATATTAAGAACAAATATGTAAAATAGGAAGTTAGATTATTCATTTCCTAGATTAAATTATTTGTTTCATAGATTAGTTCTTTATTTTCCTATATATTGATTTATAATTTATGAATACATATAATAATAATTACAATTAGTTCTCAGTTTTTCACAACCACCTTGACTGAACAGGGAGCTTTTATAAGAATACTTGTCTCATAGACTGCTGTAGTCAAAGAGTTTCTGAAAAAGCTTTTGCAGTTTTATGATTGCTGCTCTTTCTTATTATGCTTCTTGGTTTTTAAAAATTGATTGAGCAGTCATAACACATAAGATGTAATTGAAACTAAATATTTGACCAGTCATATTTTTTCAGGTGTTGACGAAACATCTCTCATAGAGCTCATGAGTCAAACAGCAATGTTGAAGAGTCTTTGCTTGAGTGACACTCACCTTGTAGATGAAGCACTTTATAATTTCTCAGGGTCTTCCTTGGAGTTGCTTGATGTTTCTAATACTATGGTTAGTCATCGGATTTTTGGAACTTGGTGCCTATTTACCTAAGAGACTTAAGGACAGTGTCAAATGTGTAAAAAATTGCTCCCTTTTTAATGTTTAGATATTAACCAGTTTGAACCTTCAAAGAGCAAAAACGTAACAAACGATGGTCAATGAAAATTTTATCTACCCTTGCATTTTTAACACAACTTTTTATTATTTGCCTTGGCCTTGAAACAGGTAAATTCTTCTAAATAGCTGTTCTGAACAATTACATTTTAACTTGTGGAAGAAGTGTCTAATTTAATGGTTACATTCATTTGTTAAAATAAGAGTTAACCAGGTTTATATTGGATTTAAAAAAAATAAATAAATGATTATTTCGTGCTTGTATAAGTTGTGAAATATTGCTCCATTTTGCCGCAAATGTTTTTGCTATGTGTTAGTGATCTATCTAATCAATTATGAATGATATTTGATAAGATACTTAAAAGTTTCAGATGGATTTGTTTGTGGGTTTAGATGAAGTGGTCTTGGTGTTCGACAATATTAGGCAAATGAAAAATGCATAAAGTGGAATGTCCTTGTTATTGTCATTCATCTAAGGTGTATGCTGTAGTCGTGAATTCATCTATAATGTGTATGCTGTAGTCGTGAATAATTTAATTTTTTCTAACAAAATTAAATTGTGCTTGCACAATTGCAGATATCTGGAGCTGCTTTAGCTCATATTATTCGTGGGAATTCTGGTTTGAAGCATTTACATGCAAGAGGATGTAAATATTTGTTTCAACAGGGAAGTTACATTGGAGGGACAGAATTTTCTTTCTCACATCCATGTAAGGATCTGTTTTTTGAATTAGGCAGGACATGCAAATTAGAAGGCATTGCTTTGGGATGGGGTTTCTCTAATTTCTCGCTGGAAGCTCTGAAACCTGCAATTATTTCACTTAAGTCAATAGCTGTGGGTTTGGGTGGAACATTGGGTGAAGATGCACTGAGACTGCTGCCTACAACTTGTCCTATGCTAGAGTTCGTTATTCTTCATTTTCAGGTATTACTTATAAATATGAGATACTTTGTGGGTAATGCCAATATTATGCCCTATGACTTTTCTCATATATATGCAATATAGAAGGTTAAAATCTACCCTTCCTTCCAGTTTTGGATCACTGTTTAATAATAGAAGTTTGTGAAATCATTATGCTCACCTTGTAGATCCTTATGACTTTGAACCTATATGCAAGCATATTGGAAGGTTGTTTATTGCCATGGGAGATTGAGGAAAGCTAACTCTTATTTGTTAATTTAAAATTTATAGGAAAGAGTAAGTAATTTTATTCATTAATGAAAGAGAGAAATACACTAGTGGATCAGGTATCTATTGAAGAAGTCGGATCACCTTTGGAGAACAAAAACTACATAAAAAATGTCATGAATATTTCCTTATAGGCTATGCAGAAAGAAATTTGACTGAAGTGGAGCTATGCAATGAAAACAACCCCAAATCTTGACCCAAAATTAAGACTGAATCAGCCTAAGATCCCATTTTCTTTGAAATGAATAAAGTACGAATAGTTGAAGTGTTTGAAATCGAGTCAAACATTAAGTGGAAAAAAAAAAAAAAAAAAGGAAAAAAAAAAAGAAAAACCACTTTATCCCACAGCAAACCAGAATTTTCTCCCTTTGCATCTTCAGAAGTCCTGTTATTTCTTCATGCTAAATGAACCCAAAAAAATTAGCACCTCACATTTTCAAAGCGTCTTGGCCTTCTTTCCTTTACTAAGTACAAAATAATGTTCAGCTAGAGTAGAAGAATAGGATCTCAGAATACCCCAAGGGAGTATGGCCATTTCTTAAGCGTTACAATAAGAGTGAAGCTTTTGTCCGATGGAAAAAGAGATGATCTATTGTCTATTAATCCTTTTTGCCGCTAACACACCAAGAAGGGAAAGTGTTGGGTGCCTTTTGAATAACTTCTGCTTTGCTGACTTTTCCCAAAGCCACTATAAAACCAAAGATTTTAAATTTCGGGGAACATGAGCCTTCTACATCATATTGAATTGCTTGAAATCTTCATTGGAAGTTTCTTCACACAAATTTTCAAAATAAGATTTATAAGTGTAGCAGACTGAGGAATCAAGCTTCCATGATATCCTATCATCCTTAAGTCTCAGCATGTACACATTGTCAATCAACCCTATAAGAGTTGAGTACTCTTAAGATTTTTCTAATTCAAATTCTTCTTGAAGTTAAATTTTATTTCCAATTTGATTGAGAAATGATCAAGGAATCATGGATAATGGTAAAGCTGTTAATGCATAATCTGAAAAGGTTTAGATATTGATCTTGCAAGCATTCTTCGTCTAGCCAATTATCTAACTAAAAGCAGATGTTATCTCATTTCCAAACTCTAATTCAATAAAATTGATCAAAGAACGAAGCTTATTTGAAATGGATTTCAAAGAGCTCCTTTTAGATTTGAAATATATAGCTATGGAGTTCCATCCATTTGGTTGAATACCGTATAAACTTCTAATAATTGCTATCCATTGATTGTTCTTAATGAAAGGTAATCTGCATAACTACTTTCACAAAGGAGATGAAATAGCTAATTTAGCTTTAGCGTTTTTCAAATCTTTTGAGGGGTAACTTTGTAATTTGGTTGTTAACCTCTATCTTGGATATCTTTTGGAGTTTTTATTTGCCCCAATCAAATGGTCAACTAAACTTGGTCTTTGATATTGACTCTACAAAATTATGTGCTTCCATGTTCTCAAGCTAATGAAGAATTGTTTGAAACTTGAAACCACTAGATCTACCAGATGTATGATGAATCCATCTCGATGGCATGCATTGGTTTTTCTTTCTGGTATTTTCATTGCTACTCATCTTCATGCTTTGGTTGGCTTGCCTTTATCTGCTAGAACTTGTCCCAAAACTTAGAGCTTTTAGATTTTTTTTTCCATTAATTAAAGTTCTAATTTTTGAGTTTGAGTGTTAAACTAAATGTTTGCAGCATTCTGTCTCGGAGTCACATTTTATAAACATATGATAAGTTCTCGCATGATTGAAACAATTTGACATACGTAGATATCTCTTTGAGACTGCTCATTGTGGGAAACTTCTAGTATATTTTTGAAGCTACAAAAATATCATGCCTTTTTGTTTCTCTTATGAAATAATTGGTTTTGAGTTAGAGCCAAAATTTAATTCTTTAGGATAGTGTAGAACCCACACTAAGCGACAAGCAAACATGAAGGGCTACATGGTTTTACCTGTATAGTATAGACGATACAGATGGTGTCAGAAATCCAATACCGAGGGTTAAATTTATAGCTATAATAGAATAAATTTTTTTTTTTCAATAACAAGGACCAAATATTGGTATTCATTTATAATGTTCTTTGTAACTAATTGTTCTTTACAAGTACTCATATTTTGGAAGTGTTATATCACAACTCATTATCAATACCATCAAATACATTTTTATTTTTCATAGAGACACAACCTGTCAAAATAGGCTAGGGTTTGATAATATTTATTTATAGTAGGGGTTCAATTGGTATAACTTGTCAAAAAATTAGCAAAGTTCAGAGGGTCAATCCTGGGTCCATCTATGTCGACAGGTGGAGGTGGTTAGCCCTTCCCATGCTTTATTTTTCGGAGATGCTTCAAGTGTTAGGGTGATACTAGTGGTCATGAGCCACCGATCTCCCCTTAGCCCTGGTTTGAGTCGTGAACTTGTTTCCCCACTTTAACACCACTTGTTGGAAATTTTGTTAACCAAATTCTAAAAGGTTGAGATGTTAGGGAGAGGCAAAATTTAATTTTTTAAGTATACTGCAGTGTCCACACAATTGCTGAGCGGATATGAGGTGTTTTTGGCCTCATATAGCATTAATGAGGGAGTTGGTTAGTCCTCCCCGTGCTATCTAATTTTTCAAGGGCAGCTTCAAGTAATTGATGGTGCTAGCTCCCATCAGCCAGCAATATGTTGCCTTTTGGCATCTCACATATTTATTGAGATGAGGGTTGAGTTGTCTTCTTGATGATTTTTATTTGTTTAAGATTCCATTTTCACTTTTTCTAAATCCTTAGAACAAAGAAATTATAAGATAATTTTAACATTTGCAATAGCAAATAAAATATGAAATGTGGATTTATTTTCTTGGTGAGACTGTTTAGAGGTGACCTCTGCAGTTCCTGTATGTGTTTACCTTTTTCTGTTAGATGTTGTTTACTATCATATTGTTTAGTCATTCAAATTAAATATGTTGAGCTTCTGCTCTCTTTACAGGTGATATCTGATTCTATCATGGATAGAATCATGACATCCTTGAAGCAGTTGCGAGCTTTATCTTTGTGCTACTGTCTTGGTGATATGTCCATATCAAGCTTCAAGTTTTCTCTACCAAACCTGAGAAAATTGAGGCTTGATCGGGTAACTCCTTGGATGACCAATGATGATTTGGTTATTTTGATACAACACTTTGCAAACTTGGTTGAGCTTTCATTGCTAGGATGTACTCTTCTTAATGCAGGTCAGTAATTATCATTTGGAATGCATCCCATCCACGTGTACATATGTCTTCTTCCCTTCTAAATTTTGGCTGAATTTCCCAGACAGTTTGAAGATAAAAAGCAGAATGCGACCCTTTATTGATGGCTTCATTCCTCTGCTCATAAACAGTTGCTTTTTATTTTATTTCTTTGATAGTAGGAATCTATAGCAAATTACTGGCAAAACTTGATCCCTTTCACAAAATCAATTGGTTGAAGTTGGCTCCTCGATGTTGAAGCATTTGGCCCTTCCTTTGGGTAGAAATTTGAGAGGTTTAGGTTTTGGAACCTGGCAGTGGAAAGAATAGAGACGTGTGAAAATCAGAGAGAACTAAATAGTGTGTTTTTATTACTTGTATATTGATAAAAAATAATAGATCAATATATAGGAAAATAAAAAACTAATCTAGGAAGCAAAGAATCTAATTTAGGAAATGAATAATCTAACTTCCTATGCTACATATTTTGTCTTAATATATATTGATTACAATCCTAATATCATAATATAAATTGATTACAATCCTAATATCATAATATAAATTGATTACAATCTTAATATCCTAATATAGAATTATACACTTCAACACTCTGCCTCAAGCTGGAGCATATAAGTCATATGCATCAAGCTTGCAACAGATAAAATCAATGCGCGAACTTTTGAGAGATTTAGTGAGGATGTCTGCTAACTGGTCGTTAGAACTGATATGACTAGTGGTAATACATCCAGATAAAACTTTTTCTAAATAAAATGACAATAAATTTCTATGTGCTTAGTCCTCTCATGAAATACTGGATTAGAGGCAATATAGAGAGCAGCTTGATTATCACAGAGTAACTTCATTTGTGACACTTCTATAAATTTCAACTCTTGGATTAGTTGCTTTAACCAAAGAAGCTCTCAAGTAGCTAAGGCCATTGCACAATATTCAGCATCTGCAGTTGATCAGGCAACAACAACTTGCTTCTTACTTTTTCAAGTCACTAGGTTTCCTCTAATAAGAACACAAAAACCCGAAGTAGAATGTCTATCAGATGGAGACCCTGCCCAATTAGCATCAAAATATTTAACAATATGCGAATTACCCTTGTTCTCATATAACAAGCCTTTGCCTGGTGAACCCTTTATATACCTTAAAATCCAATGACTATCACATTGAGACTATAGGAACTGACTTACAACACTAACAGAAAAGAAAATATCAGGTTGTATAATAGTGAGATAATTAAGTTTATCAACTAGTCTTTGGTATCTTCTAGGATCAGCCAACAACTCCCCTTGTTTAGGTGAGAGTTTTAAATTAGGATCCATAGGAGAGTCAATTGGTTTGTAATCTGACATTCCTGTCTCTTCAACAATATCTAGTGCATACTTTCTTTGAGAGATAACCATACCAGATTTGGACTGAGCAACTTCTATAGCAATAAAGTATTTAAGAAGTCCTAAATCTTTAGTCTGAAAGTGTCTGAATAAATGCTTCTTCAATTGTTCAATACCATCTTGATCACTTCCTGTAATGACAATATCATCAACATAGACAACCAGATAGGTACATTGCCCTGGTGATGTATGTTTATAAAAGACAGAATGATCAGACTTGCATCGAATCATACCAAACTCTTGGATAATAGTACTGAATCGTCCAAACCAGACACAAGGAGACTGTTTCAAACCATACGGAGAACGACAAAGTTTGCATACTGTTACAGATGTATTGACTTCCTAGATGATAGGAATCACATTAAAATCCTTGATTATAAGGATCACTTCTATCCTAATTTAGATTGATCACCTACCTAGTTTAGAACACTACAAATGTATATAAATATGTATCCTTTTAAGCTATGAATGAGAAGTGGTGAACATTCATTACGTTTATCTTACATGGTATCAGAGCCAGAAAAGAAATTAGGGTTTGGGTCTCAAAATTGGGAAATTAGGGTTTGGGTTTCAAATTGGGAAAACCTGTTTAGGTTGAGATTTGTTCAACACTGCCACCCAAGGGAGATTCAGAAGCCTCCGATCAGCAAAACCCTGAGTTCCGGCCATCAGAATCACCGCGCGTGAGATGCATGCGCCACCCGAAACTCTGGTGAAATGTAACATGCGCCGGTGCGTGAGAGCACGTGCACAGCTGACTTCTCCTCCGATTCTCTTCGTCTGCTTTGTCGGTACTTGTACATCACATTTTTGTGTTGGATTGGGTAATCTCTTACTGGTTCACTACTGTTCTTTGTTTGGATATTTCTGAGGACTTAGTTGTGATCTTTCGGCACTTTGTTTTCGTTTGGTTATTGGTTTTTTGCTTGCTGTGGCCTCTGGTTGGTGGTGACTGTTGATTGATTTGGTGTGTCACTGAAATTTAGTTAGTTTGCTTTGTTTTAACTGTTTGTTGGTGTGCATTGGGATTATCATCTGTTTAAGACATGTCTGATACAAAGCCAGTGATGGAAATGATACCGACGATGTCGAAAATTACAGAACATAAGCTTATCGGTATAACTAATTACCGTGATTGACGTAAAACTATTATACTGTATTTGCGGAGTATTGATAAAGATGATCATATGACTGATGATCCATCTGAGGATGATTCGAAAAAGACATGGCTCCGGGATGATGCTTGGTTGATTCTACAAATACGGAACTCCATTGACGGTAAGGTACTTGGCCTAATTAATCATTGTGAGTTTATTAAAGAACTGATGAATTATTTAGAGTTTCTGTATTCTAGAAAAGGGAATGTTTCTCATATTTATGAAGTGTGTAAGACATTCTACCGTGCAGAGAAACAAGATAAGTATCTTACAGCTTATTTTATGGAGTTTAAAAAGGCTTATGAAGTGTTGAACATGTTGTTACCCTTCAGTGTTGATGTCAAAGTTCAACAAAAACAACGGGAGGAAATGGCAGTCATGAGTTTTCTTGCAGGTCTTCCTTCTGAATTTGAGACTGCTAAGTCTCAGGTTCTAGCCAGTCCAGAGATCTCTTCATTGTAAGATGTCTTTAGTAGGGTACTTCGCACAGAAGGTACCCCATCGGTTCAGTTTAGTAGTGCTCTTGTCAGTCAAAAGAATGACTATGAATCTGGGTGATCACAATTTGGAGGTGGCAACAAAGGAGGATGGTCAAATAGTAATATGGGAGGAATTGTGTCACTATTGCCATAAGCCAGGACACATGAAGCGTGATTGTAGAAAGCTTCAGAACAGAAATAGAAGAAATCCCTCTGACCATGTTGCATCCACCAATGATACTTCGGATCAGTCATTTTTTATCTCTGCAGATGAATTTGCCAAGTTTTCATTGTACCAGGAATCATTAAAGGCTTCACCTACTCTTGTCACGGCTATGACTGACTCAGGTAAGCCAAATATATGTCTCATTTCCTCATCCTCCAAATTCGCCATTGACTCTGCTGCAACAGATCACATGTCAGGTAATCCCAGTCTCTTTGCTACTTATCAATCAAAAACCCTTTCGAATGTGACTTTAGCAGATGGGTCACTATCGTACGTTCTTGGGTCTGGCACAGTTACCCTTACTCCACAGCTTCCCTTGTCAAATGTCTTACATTTACCAGATTTTTCTTTCCATTTGATTTCTGTTAGCCAACTTACTCGTGCTCTTAACTGTTGTGTTTTATTCTTTCCCGATTATTGCTTGTTTCAGGATCTTACAACGAAGAAGATTATTGGTAAAAGACATGAATCTGGAGGTTTATACATTCTCGACAGACCAAAATCTACACCTCTCGCTTGTTCTAGTGTTGCATCCCCGTTTCAAGCACATTGTTGTTTGGGCCATCCATCTCTTCCTTTACTGAAGAGATTGTGTCCGCAGTTTAATAAAGTGTCTACATTAGAGTGTGAGTCATGTCAGTTTGCTAAACATCATCGTGTCAGTTTTAGTCCTAGAGTCAATAAAAGGGCTAATTCTCCATTTGTGTTAGTTTACTCTGATGTTTAAGGTCCCTGTCCAGTTCTGTCTAAAACTGGTTTTAGATATTTTGTTACATTTGTGGATGATTACTCTCGTATGACTTGGTTATTCTTAATGAAAAATCATTTTGATTTGTTTTCTTAATTATGTGGTTTTTGTACTGAGATTAAAACTCAATTCAATGTTTCTGTTTATACATTGCGCAGTGATAATGCAAAAGAATATCTATCAGTTTCTTTTCAAAATTACATGACTCAGAATGACATTCTTCATCAAACTTCATGTGTTGATACTCCATCTCAAAAAAGAATAGCAGAATGGAAAAACATATATCTTCTTGAAACTGCTAGAGCCTTATTATTCTAAATGAATGTTCCTAAACCATTATGGGCTGATGCCGTTTCCACTGCCTGTTTTTTGATTAATCGCATGCCGTCTTCTGTCCTTCATGGTGAGACCCCGTACAGTATTCTTTTTCCTAACAAAGCATTATTTCCTCTTGAACCTAGGGTATTTGGTAGCACTTGCTTTGTTCGGGATGTTCGACCATCAGTCACTAAATTAGATCCCAAGTCATTAAAATGTGTCTTTCTTGGTTATTCTCGACTTTAGAAAGGATATCAGTGTTATTGTTCAAGTCTTAATAAGTATCTTGTTTCCATTGATGTTACCTTTCTAGAAGAAACACCATACTTTCCCTCTTCTCCTGCAGATCGTCCGAAGGATGATGATAATGATGATTTGTTAGTTTATACCTTCACTTCCTCTGCATCGATATCTGAACTGACATCTGTCTCTGACCCTGTCACTATTCCTACGCTTCCTACATCGGCTCCTATCTCTGATTCTGCTCCTGCTCCTGTCAAAGTTTACTCTTATCGTCCAGCTCCTCCAGTTTCATGTCCAGCACCAACTTCTTCGTCATCCGATCTAGATGATCTTCCTATTGCATTGCGAAAAGGTAAACGACAGTGTACTTATCCTGTTTCTTCTTGTGTTTCTTATGATCATTTGTCACATTCATCATGTTCCTTTATTGCT